ATATCAAAAGTAATTTTTTTGTTACGATAGTGCCCCTTTAATTCTATTGTGAATAAAAAAAAATTGTGCTTTTACAACTGGTTCTCTTTAAACACATTGGATCTGAATTTTCCATGCTGGGGAGGGGGGGGATGGGTGAATTTTAAAGATAACTACAGTAAAGACTGTGATATAGCAGATAGCTTTGGAAACAGAGCATGTATCCAGAGTGATGGTGTGCTTTCATAAACTGCTTTAAAGCATTGCCTGTTGGAGTTTACACAAGCCAGAGACAGACTCTGTTCTACTCTGTAGATCATTCCAAGTTTGTAAATGAATCTTTTGTTGAACATCTATTTAGTTTCCTTTCGGCCGGCATTCCAAGTGTCACTGCACACTTCTTAAATTCCCAACTAAACCTTCCAATGATCTGACAGTGCTTGCAGACCACTTTAATTAACTAGAGGAATGCCGTAATTTAAAAGAAGCATGAAGGCTTTAGCAGAGGCAGCCAAGAGAAAATTATTTTCAGTATTACAATTTGAAAATGGTATGCCTGGGCAGACATGCTGGTTAATCCTTTCAATTTAGCAATACATCTGTGGTCCGCAAACTCATCTAAACATGCACTGTATTTGGCATGGCTGTACGGCTGGGATGATTTAATATGGTTCTCTGCATTCTTCATTCTCTATAAAAAGGGAATGTTTATAATATATCCAATGATTTCTCCAGTAGTTGCATTTTCTTTCGAGGTCTTTGCTTGGAAAGCACGTTAAAAAAAATAAATTTAAAAAATGTTTCTCAGCAATCTAATTCTATAGAAAATTAACCCCTAAAACATATTTGCCATAAACACATTCTTATGTATAAACAATGACATAATGACAACAGGCATCTGTATTTTTGATATATCAAATTATATTCACAAATAAATTTCACAAATTTCAGATAAATACACAATTTAACATTCCTAGCATTTCCTGGTGTCATCCCAGCATTATCTGCTTTAGCAGAGCACTACAACTAACTGTAGAGGTTATGGTGCTTGAGTATTACTTTAAGATAATAAATACCATTTTAACAAGGTATGAAACAATTACTAAAAATTAAAGTAAATCGCTTTTGACTTGTGAAGATATATATTATACCAACAATACAGATAAAAAGGCATTGTACATCTGTCCTTTCACAACAATCTAAATCAGTGGTAGTCAACCTTTTTCTTCCTACCGCCCACTAATGCATCTTTCTTGATGGAAAAATTTCCTTACCGCCCACCAGTTTTCGCGCAAGTGCGGAATATTTTTTAGAAAGGAGGGCGTTTTAAAAAAAAATATACACACACATAAGACATACATACAAAGACACACACACAGACACACATACAGACACATACATAAGACACACATACATACAAAGACAATACACAACACATACATACAAAGACAAGACACACACAACACATACATACAAAGAGAAGACACACAAACACAAGACATACATACAAAGACACATACATAAGACACACATACATACAAAGACACACACACATATACAGACACACACAAGACATACATACAAAGACACACACAGACACAAGACATACATACAAAGACACACACACACACACAAACATACACACACATTATGTTTAAGTCACCCTCCTGTTTCCTACCTTTAACCCCTTAAGGACCAAACTTCTAGTATAAAAGGGAATCATGACATGTCACACATGTCATGTGTCCTTAAGGGGTTAAGGTGCAGGAGGGTGATATTCCCTGGGGTCCAGTGGTGGCTCAGGTGGATGGGAGTCAGAGTTCCCACTCTGACTCCCTGGTCTTCCTCCCGCACGGCTCTCAGTGTTAGCTGGGAGGAGTGAAGTGCAGTCACTCCCAGCTCTGTGATGTAATCACAGGGGGCCCGGTCGCGCTGTTAAAGGGCCCAGGGCTGACCGGGCCCCCTCACAATCCACATCCATCGGGTGGCCCTGACAGCATAGGCCACCCGATGGACCCCTTGGACGGCGGCCCCGGCGGTTTGTCGCCCGGGCCAGGGCGGCAGATGGTGATGGCGGTACCCGGTCGCAGGGGTACCGCCGGCTCGCACCCGCCCGCCCACCCACCCAATCTCTCCAAATGAGGAAATCCCTACCGCTCACCTGGAATCCTGAAACGCCCACTAGTGGGCGGTAGGGACCAGGTTGATGACTCATGATGTAAATAAAAGATCTCTTACAAATTCTGTACCATTACATGTACTTACTAATAAGACTGGATACAGTCTGCATTTTAAGAGTTACAATGATTATTTGATACTGAAAACGGAAACAAATAATTGAGTTTAGGAGTAAATTAATTTATACTGCTTGGAAATCCCATTTATATTTCATGACTAATCTCCCTATACAATGGACATTAGATTTTGTCCTTGGGAACTATTAAAAAGTACAGTGTGTTATGGCATGTTTTCTAAAGGAAGAATGGCCTAAATTTAATGCATCATACAAATATTATTTCTGTTGTTATACAGCTTTTTTTGTCAGGTGATGTGAGTCACAATTATTGCAATATGTGAGTTGACAACATTTTTTTCTTTTTTTTTTTTTTAACTTTTTCACAAAATTGAGCTAGACACACCTTTGGTAGTATGTATGATTTAATAATGTTTACCCTTCCCCTACAAAGATCATTCCAGTGTTTTCCCCTCTTTCAATAATTTGTTTGTTTTAGAAATTAAAGAGAAGAAATTACATTTGGCTATCTTGGTTGGGTCAGAGCATATAATAATACCCAAATATTTAAATGAATGTCCTGGCCATGTAAAATCTAGACATCTGCAATTTGTTTCGGTCCAAATTTAAATTCAAATGAATTTCACCAATTCGGACATTCGGATGCTTCCGAATAGACGAATTTCCAAAGTGCCAAATTGAATTTCCCCTGAATTGCCGAAGTGTCAAATTTCGAATTGCCAAACCGAACCAAATTGACGAATTTCTGAAGTGGTTCAGATTTCTGAGAAGTGGCAAAACAGGAAAGGGAGGGAAAATTAAGGGCATGATGACAAGAATCTAACTCTAACCCTACCCCAACCTTCCTCTAACCCTACCCCTAACCCTTACCCCAACCTTCCTCTAACCCTAGAGGAACTCTCAGACTCTCGATTTAACTTAAATCGAGAGTCTGACGAATTGCCTCTCCCTTTAATAATTATTCTCCTTTTTAAACTCAGCTTTTCCCGGTTTCCGGTTCCCCTCTGACGAGCAAAGTGGGCGAAACGCGCGTGTCAAGGGATTTAGGGCTCGATCTATGCCGAAAGTTTATTAGTTTATTAGAATATTACTTTTGCGTTCCAGTATCCTTTTGCCTTTTGGTTCTACAGTTAGTGGGATTAGACCTAGGTGCCCTCGAAGGCACGGGGGGGTATCGATAGTATCAGCTTAGATATTTTGTCTCTATATTCGCTTTAGTCTTATTGTAGAAGTTTGAGTTATTTTATTTTATCCTTTATTATTTTCTTATCTTTCTACATTACTGCAGGGTTGGCTTTAGAATCCTTGTGCTACCTTTATTCTCTCTTGTATACAAGTGTATCACTATATAGCCTATCTGACATTCTATATTGACACTCTGTATCTAACGGACATTGCAGCTGATTATCTAATATACGAGTTTAGTTGGAACCCTAACCTGCCACCATCCTGATTAGTGATTTAACATGCTTCTTTAATCCTGCGTTATCCTTAACATTGGATCTACACGACCTATGAGGGTTTTGTCTCTCTGTTGTTGCCATCTTTATTAGGGATCCAATACGATATTTTTTCACAATAGGGGCGTGCTATCACTTAGTTAGACATTTGAACTGTACTAGATCCTATTTCTCCTTCTCAGATTAATTATATATTCACGGGTTCTATTGCCAGCATTTAGCAGATCTTTGTACCAATTTTCTCTAGGCAGAATCACACCATTATATTCTTCCTTACACTCCTAGCATTTTGTACATCTCCCCTCTACAGGGCAGACGTGCGCTAGTGGGCATTAGCATTTTCATTTATCATTCAAGAACTGGAATGTATGTTATATTTCACAGTGTATCTTGTTTCTTTTTTATTTTGTGTCTTGTTTTAAGTGTCTAGCTGTTATTTAGATACTTATTTTATTATTACTTGTCATTTTCGAATATATCATTAAATCTTTTTTGTTTTCAGACCTTTTGGTCTTTTTAGCAGTGCTTCTCTTCTCTTATATTACAATCATGTATTAAGAAACTTAGGCATACACCTTGTTTCTCCCAGTTGATAGGTACACTATCCCATAGACGTGCGCAGCCTATTGCATTAGGGTGTGCACCCTAAAGCACAAACACACGCCGTGTGTGTGTGTGTGTATGTATCTATATCTATATATATATATATATATATATACATACACACACACACACACATACACTGCTGTGTGTGCTGTTAGTGTGCTGTGTGCTGTTAGTGTGATGTGTGTGTGGGGGTGCTGTTAGTGTGATGTGAGGGTGTTTGTGTGTGTGTGTGTGTGTGTTTGTGACTGTGCTGTTTGTGTGTGTATGTTTGTCCTGTGAGGGTGCTGTTTGTATGAGTGTTGTGTATTTGTGAGGGTGCTGTTTGTGTGTGTGTGTGTGTTTGTGAGGGTGCTGTTAGTGTGCTGTGTGTGTGTGAGCTGTATGTGTGTAGGTGCTGTATGTGTGTGTGCTGTATGTTTGGAGGGATTTGGCAGATTAGTAAATCCTTGCTGCCATGTGCCATCCCTGGTGGTCCAGTGGAGAGTGAACTCTAGCCTGCGGGGCTACAGTTAACTCTTGCGAGATCTGAGCGTTGCCGCAGCAACACTCAGATATCGCGAGAGGAACCTGGCGGAGCTTCTGTCTAGAGCTCCCTGGGTCCTCTCCTGCCTCCCTCCATGCTGCTGTGGGCCGGTGAGGTAGATCTTTGGTCTCCCCGCTGGCCCATGGAGGCTTAGAGCAGAGCCGGCACTCAGATAGCGCCGGCTCTGTGTGTGTGTGTGTGTGTGTGTGTATATATATATATATATATATATATATATATATATATATATATATATATATATACACACACACACGTACACACACTCACAGACACATTCAGACAGACACACATACACACACTCATTGACACACTCACACACACACATACATACATACACTCACAGACACACACACACACATTCACACACTCACACTCACACAGACACACATACATTCACAGACACACACACACTCACTCACACACAGACACACACAAGAACAAATTATTACTTTTTAATTTAAAAAGAATGTCCACCCAGCCTCCTACCTGGAGTGCTGGCGTGGACTTTTCCCTGGGGTCCAGTGGGGCGGGCGCCTCTCTCCAGCTCAGCCGCGGCGAGGGAGCTCCCTGCTGTCTGCGCTCTGCTCCCTCTCGCCGCGCGGGCTGTCTGCTGTAGCTGGGAGCCGGAATATGACGTCATATTCCGGCTCCCGCCATCAGCGCGCGGCGAGAGGAAGCAGAGAGCAGAGAGCTCCCTCGCCACGGCTGAGCTGAAGAGAAGGGGGGGATCCATCACCTCCTGCCCTCCCCATGACAGGGGGGCGCTGAGTGCCTGCAGGAACAGCGTTCCTGCTCAAAAAAAGTGAAGGAACACTGTTCCTGCAGGACTCAAACCATAGGCGTGCCACAGGGATTAGGGTGTGCTCAGGCACACCCGGCACACCCCGTGCGCACGCCTATGCACTATCCTATAATTCTCTTGTTTCACTAGGGGTTACCCCCCAGCATCTAGTGTACCTTACTTGGCTGTATTCAATTAGTTCTTATAATTATCTCTCAGGCACAGATGAGGAGTTTGTAACTTGTAACTTATCCATTCTTATGTCCAGGAGAGGGATTATCCTGTTTGTGTGGGAGTGTCAGGGGTGTGCTTAACTGTGTCTGAAATTGTATAAAAGCAGGCCATTTGGCCAGATTAAAACATTCCAGCTTGTACTCCCAGAACTATGTCATCTGGTTACTGGGAGGGGAAAGGGCCAATCAGTAATCACTGTTCCAGTGTGGAGGATTCGACGGGGAAAGTCCTTGTAAGAACTAGAGCTCCCAGGACTGAGTGTCGTCCAGTGGGTGAATAGAGCGAGTATACAATTCGGCTCCAGGAGGGAGCAGTTCCAGGGTCCCTGTCAAGCCACAGTGACTCTGAGCAGAAGTGCTGTGGTTTGTCCCCTGTTCCAGCTAGGAAGCGGTCCTTGGCAGAGGTACCCAGCCAGGGGTACAGGGAGCTCAGTTACAATAACTGCTAAATTTATGAATTTTTCTTTCATTATTTTTTTTCTTTAGCTGTTAGGTTTATGAGGTGGCCATGTATGACGGATTTATACGCACACCAAGTCACCGGGGCTGTTTCTTCTTTCTCTCTTTTTTCATTAAAAAACAAATCCGTTAACTCTTTAAATTGATTAAAATTGTTCTCATTTTTAAGGACCCAGTCATTCAATGTCCATTATGGTTTATATCTTTTAATGTGATCATCTAAGTCCATAATAATCGGATTATGGTCAGACCAAGAGGTTGTTGTAATAAATATATTTTTGATCCTCTTTGCCACTGGTCTATCCCCTAATATCAGATCAATTCTAGAATATGAGTTAAATGACTTAGAAAAACAAGAAAAATCTTGTGGGTGGAAAATCTGCCAGTCTAACAAAGCTTAATTATTTCCGAAAATCTTTTAGCATTATTCAATAATTTTATATTTTTTTCCCAATGATCTTTTGTCTAAATCAGGGTCTAAAATACAGTTAGAATCCCTAATTATTACGACCTGTCCTGTTGTACGACGGTCAATTTTACACAGAACTTTTTAAATAAATTAAATTGGAGACGTATTTGGAGCATAAATATTAATCAACGTATATTTTTGGATATTAATTTCACACACTAAAATAATAAATCTGCCTTCAATATCTGCACTTATAACTGTAGGAAAGAGTTTCGAGTTAAATTTATGTTTGTCCTACATAGTCCATAGTGTTTCTTGTGGCCCCAATATAAATATGTTACCTTTTCATAAATTCTAATATCATGTATCTTTTAAAATGTGAATTGATCCTCTGAGCATTAATTGTGGCCAATCTAATAACCATAATCTACTACTTAATCTGCTACTTAATCTACTACGACAAATTCTCAACTGGAAGGACTGGGGAATTTATCGCTTTACAAAACAAACATAAAACATTTTCTCAACTGCCCATTTTCTCAACTGTCCATACACAAACATCCTATACCTAACACTAGGCATATTCTAATCAACTGGAGAATTTCTCTCCCCAACACACTTGTTAAAGATAACCTCACCACAGTGTCAACTAAATCGACTAAATCACCTATCTAAGCCTACTGGACTCCTAAAATGAACAGTAACCTAATCCCCTAGGGCCCCTTACTCTCCTTGCCAGGTTTCTTTCTTTGAACAATTGGACAAATCGAAGAGAAAAAAAAAGCCTTAATAACTGAATAACTAGAATCCATACTTGGGATCACTCATTCAATTTGTATGTGTAATCATCTGCTTAACACTAAGTAAACATGTGTATATAATTATTGTGTTAAATCTTTCTTGAGTCTATCTAATAATTTCAAGTGATTTATACAATTTTCTTTTTTTTTTTACTTTTTCTTCTTTTTCACTCCTTTTTCCTTCCTTACTTTTCCTGTTAAAACGATTTCCACAAGTTGTGTATATATACTATATGTAAATTATGTGACTATGTATTATTTGTTTAGTGTTAATATTTACATGATAATATAAAAGCGATGGTTCCTTAAAACCCCTCAGCTTTCTGTGCTAAATTTTACAGAATTCCTTTCCTATTGATTTCCATATTTTACCTAAACTCATATCATAATTTCAAATTATACAATGTAATAATATGAATGGAAAAAAGAATAACGAATCTCTCTTTGGAAAAAAGGGGGTCCCAAGTCAAAAGACTATGGGTAACAATTCTCAAAAAAGGTTAGATTACCCACATATAACATGTATAACCCACTATATTTGGTAAGAAATAAAAAATTTAAATATAAAATGTATTAGTATCTAAAGGGCACATCTACATAATAGTGAGAAAAAAATGAAAAGTGAAAAACACAAAAGTGACCTGTGAAAAGTGTAATATTAAAGGACCACTATAGTGCCAGGAAAACACTCATTTTCCTGGCACTATAGTGCCCTGAGGGTGCCCCCACCCTCAGAGTCCCCCTCCTGCCCAGCTCTGGAAAGGGGTAAAAACGTACCGTTTTCCAGCGCTGGGCGGAGAGCTCTCCTTCTCCGATCCTCCTCCATCCCTCCCCGTTGGCTGAATGCGCACGCGCGGCAAGAGCTGCGCGCGCATTCAGCCGGTTGCATAGGAAAACATTATCAATGCTTTCCTACGGACGCTTGCGTGCTCTCACTGTGATTTTCACAGTGAGAAGAGTGGAAGCGCCTCTAGCGGCTGTCAATGAGACAGCCACTAGAGGAATTGGGGGAAGGCTTAACCCATTCATAAACATAGCAGTTTCTCTGAAAACTGCTATGTTTATGAAAAAAAACTGCTATGTTTATGAAAAAATGGGTTAACCCTAGCTGGACCAGGAACCCAGACCACCTCATTAAGCTGAAGTGGTCTGGGTGCCTAGAGTGGTCCTTTAAAAAGGAGAAACCTAGGGGGTCTGCCTATCTGGCTTGTGTATATCAATCACAGCAAACGTGAGAAAATATACTACTTCTTGATCAATCCAAGCAGAAAGATAGTATCAAGAAAGACAGTTGTTTAGTACTAAAATGTTATTCCAATTGGAAGGCTAAAATGAAGCCAATTAAATAGCCGCAGTCTATGGGGATCAGAAGAATAAAGCTTAGCATTTAGATTTAAAACTAGATATATTTTGAAAATTAGAGATATTGGAAATATTAGAGATATTCAAAAAGGTGAATAAAAGGTATAGGTAGATACAATGATAGAGATAATGTAAGGTAATGAAAGTAAAGGGGTATATTAGTAGAGTCTGATTATAAGGAACGGGGGAGGGTAGAGTGTTAATTTGCCACCCCCACCTTAATAATTAGAGCAAACTCCACTTAAAAGAGGGTGAATATGGGATTTAAAGAGGAAGACAGGAGGGTAGGATTTCATAGCAATAATTACCTACCCCCTTCCCCACTACAAACCACAACCCTGATTATAGTTGCAAAGAAAAAGATACAAAATAAAATAAAATAAAAACAGCAGTCACCCAGAAGGGCTGGATCAAAATAAATATTTATGAGAGGTATATATATGGCATTAGTGCAGATAGCTAACCTAGGTAAATACTGCGTATGAATGCACCTAAACCAGGGTTAAAGCATACCCCACAGACTACTTATTGAGATACCTTTCTAAAGGTCCTAATCCATAAACCTTACTCAAATACCCAGGGTGGTACAAGTGCTTAGAGGTAAAGGTAAATCCCAACCATATAAATATCAGAATCAGTCCCACACAGATCCTAACACCCCCAAATCTCTTTAGCTTCTTCGAGGAAGCTCTAAATAAAGACTATACAAAAAAGAAAAAAAAAACCACTCAAGTCATAAATTGTTTAAATGGGTCATTACAGCACCCAATTTCACCATTTTTTTTCCCTCTACCTCTCTGTCTCTTCTTCTTGTTTAAACTGTTTTTTTCCCCCTCTTATTATGTCTTTTCTCTTAGTTTAAGCTCTTTACTTAAAGCGTCTGCAGTTTATGAAATTTAATTTTTTGATTTTCGTAGTTTAGGTTCAAACTTATCAGGAAGCCCAAGGCATATTTTATTTTATGTTTTCTCAGTATAGCGGTAGAAACCGCGTAAACTTTCCTATTCAATCTTGCTTGCGAGGATAAGTCTTGAAAAACTTTTATTTGAGAATACAGTGAATCTTTTAAATCTTAAGCAGCACAAGCAGGTATCTTTTCTTTTTGCCTTTTTCTTTTCTTTTTAGACTTTATTGATCCCCACAGCAGATTAATGTGGCACTGTTTGCTTTATCTATATAATTCACAATCCCCAGCGTACAGTAAACTCTATTGCCACGCAAAGGTTAAACA